ACTCAAGGTGGTGAACATACCTAATACTCCTTCCTCCTCCTATTTTCCCCACAACAACATTCTGATAATTCTTATTCTTATAATATATTTATATTTAAATGTATTTAATAAATATATATTTATATTAAAAATTCTTATGATATGGCTGGATTAAAGCCAAAATGCATCCAGTTGCTGATATGGTCAGAGACAAAGGAATGTTAGATGCTGCATAGATATGTATACTATTGATAAATGGAGTGTCAGAACCATAAGCCAAAAAAAGCTTAATGCTGTCAAAGTATAAATATCAACACTGAATGTCAACATTCTGGGAATCAGCAAACAGAAAGGAACTGAAATGGGTGATTTCAAACCAGAAGAACTTCTGGACTTCTATTGGGAAGAAGAAAGCCAGAAAACAAGTAGTCATCATTCTTAAGAAAACAGTGTAAAAATCAACTTTCAGGTACAACCGCCCAAAATGATAGAATATCTCAATATCTCATCCGACGCAAGCCAATCAATATTATAGTGTTTTATGCTCTAGAAACAGCTATAGAGAAAGCAGAACAGTTCAGTGGTAATTTGTAACAACTTGTCACAATACAAAAAAAAAAAAAGACATGTTAATTATGGGAGACTGGAATGCTAAAGACGGATGTAAAATAGCATCTAAGATAATGGAAAAATTGGTCTCTATGTACAAAATAACACATTTCTGCCAAGAAAAGTCAATGTTTATAGCACATGCTGTCTTCCAGCAAGAAACCTAGAAGATGACTCTATATGTGGACATCACTGTCATTGGCAATACCAAAATGAATTTGTCCATGCATTCATTGAGATAATGAGCTCCTGTTTTAGACTTGATCAGGGGCATAGCTAGGGTAGGATAGGCTCCCACGATGTGCATTAACTATTATGGTACCTCATCTTCTTTTATTTCATTCTGTTCTATCCTACATTTTTATACATTAAATATATCCGCATATAATTTACATGTTTTATATAGTTTGCTTTTATTTATTTTTAATTACTTCTCATCTACACGCCCTCCTTTCTCCTTCCTGTTCACTTTTATTTCCTGATGCTCCAAGTGCCTACCAGGAAAATTTCCTTTTGCCAAGATTTTCTGTTGAGGCTGAGTTGATAAGGACCCTTAGATGGGAAATGCTAACAACAACAGGACAAGCAAGAACTGCCTGAATTTTGGCAAAATAAAAGCAAAGAAATACTGAAAGATAAGCCCTAAATTATCAGAGAGTATCTCAAGCCCCAGTCAGCTGGCAACAGAGAACTTGCTATGCTTCATTAATAACAATGACAATTTAAAAATGTGTCAGTTGCCTGTTCCATAATCATGCCTTGCTCAATTGGGAGAGCGAGGAGTTGAAAATTTGGAAATTTGAAAATAAGCTCCAGCTGGAGACAGAGGACAAGCTTCATCTTGATCTGAGAGATGAAGCCAAATCCCAAACCTAGTTATGGACCTGATGGCCAAGAACTGCCTCCTGACTATGCTGTTTACGCTCAGCTGCTAATGGCTAATACTAAGTTTGATAACTTAACATCTCTAATGGAGCAATTATGTCTACAGTGATAGATAGTCCACTTGTCTGCTTCTAAGTAGGCCAGGTCAGGAAACAGATGCCACAAGAAGTACTAGAACTCTACTTTCTTGATATAGGCTATACATACCTAGGTTATATATAATAACAACATCTTGAAAGCTTGACAGTGTTTTTCCCTTCCCTCCCTTTTATACCAAAGAGAGTCAAGACAAGGCAATCATCAGTTTCTTTCCCATGATTTTTTATTTTCCCCAGATAAGCTCTTGCTTTATGAATGATCACTGCATATTTCTCCAAGGTCATCTTTGTGTTCCTCTATACCCCCTGACAATAAATCCATTAGTGTCAGCCATGGGATAACTCCACAAGCCCCAGTAGGAAGGCAGCATCATGTTAGTGAGCAGGTGTTATCACAGCCCTGTCAGACATAATATGCTTTTGTGGAACCAGAAACAGTGACAGGCACATACTCCAGCCATAGGGAGTGATGCAGCTACTTGAGAAGTACAACTCCAACTGTGGCAGAGGACACACTGGGAAGGCTATAATCTGCTCAGTCTCATAACTGTGGTGCTGCCGTGTCTTCCTTAGTGAATTCAGTGAATCCAGTGGCTACCCAGGCATGCTAAATTTACAAGGATAGTCCTTACCTTTCAATATACAATGTTCTCAAGAATGAGGAATTATTAGAGAAAATTTCATATTATACCTTTTGGTGTTTTTTTTCTACTGCAGGCTAGAAGGACAGAGTGGTGTGGAGGTTCTCAAGATAAAAGTACATTGCTTAGCAAGGTTACTAAGCAACTGTCAAGTTCCTATAGTGACCATTCTTACTGAAGGCCAAGCCTCTGCAGGCAAGGCTCTGCTGGTCATATTACTGTAGATCAGAAGTAATTTCTTCTGCTTCAGAAAAGACATCTTTAGTAAGACAGATGCAATTTAAAGACCCACTCATGGCAGCCCCTGATATGTTTAAATCACTTGTGGTTTTGCTTTTGTAAAGCTTCAAGATCTGCTGAGAATGCTACTTTGCCAGTTTCTAAAAAGAGAAGGTGGTACTTTGCCCACTTGAATGATGACCCCCAACTAACCAAACTCAAACATCCCACTGCAGGACAATTGACCAGACAGAAGCCAAAATGCTCTATCCATGTGCGATCACTCCAGATGGAGGCTGGATTGCTCCCCCCAATTTAATCACTCCACAACCTTTAGTGAATTCAAGGTGGCTTTCTGCTACTGATTTCTATCTACCAGAGAACAATTTCGTCTTCCCATCAACCCCTGATGGTTATCATTATTATGATTATTATAGCGAAACTCACCTACTGCACCACCATGCATACAATTGAGTGGTTTAATCCTGACCACACCTGAAACTGACACCCAGCTTCTCAAGGGTAGACCCCTACAGACTCAATTGCCTATTGATACATCCATTCTCCTACCAGTTTCAAACGACAGTTTTCATTCACCTACTGCCAATTCAGTCTCATGGGACTCTCTTCCACTCACAGAGGACCCATTTCTCTTACACTAAGTGCAAAGAATTCTGTGACACTTTTATCATGGAATAATTCTTTGTCACTCCTACAGTCTGGTGGGCTGGTCAGAGTAGATCACTGCAATGGCTTAGTATATATTGCTCATTCACTTTAAGAATCAAAGCTACCCATTAGACTCATTGAACCATTATGCCCTGGTTAAAACAATAACCCCCCAAACAAAAAGCCAACAGAGCTCACCTAACCTCCTGGCCCAAATGCGTGGGGGAACAGTCAGAGGTTCAGAGTCTTATGAAAGACTAACAGAGCTGGGACCATTCAGATCTCTGTGTATATTCACACCAAACCCAGAACAAATTGATTTGTTTATTCAGAAACACAGGCCAATGAATTATGGGCTGATCTAGAAGCTTATTTAAGCAACCTTTTGAAGCTTGCTCCCTGTGCTCATGTAAGTAATTGTGGGCAATTTCATTGCTAGAATTGGGACCAATGATAAACTCCGATACTCTTAATACCTATTAATCAGCACAGATTAT